ATCGCCCATGCCGCAGGTGCATGTGGAAGTGCTAAGCCATGGCGGCGGCGGCAGTGGCAAACGCAACTCCAATGTGCCCGCGGATTTTCTCTGCCCCGGAGACCTTAGAAGAGTCACCATCGACAAGCAAGACAAGTCGCTCGGTATCACCATACAGTGCAACAACAACGGCGGCGGCATCTTTGTGGCCACCGTCGCCGACAAAAGCACAGCGATGCGTGCCGGTCTCCAGGTGGGCGATCAACTCTTGGAAGTATGTGGCATCAATATGCGTGCGGCCACGCAGGAGATTGCGGCCAATGTGCTGCGTCAGTGCGGCAACTCTTTCACCATGCTGGTGCAGTACAATCCGGAGAGTAAGTGCACCCATTTCTAGACTAGAGTATACACAAAAGCGCTAACCCAATCCCCCTCTTGCAGAGTTCCCGTCAATGGAGTACGAGGGAGCGAACAATCTGGAACCAGAATCTCCTGTCAATCATTCGGGTTCACCAACGCCGCGCAATTCACCGCGTCCGCCGGCTCGCAACTCGATCTTCCCGCTGCCGCTGCAGCCGCAGGCGCCATCAACGCGCTCGGGATCGAGGGCCCCACTGTCGCACCAGTCGATCAAGGATCAGAGCTTCACCGACAGCCTGGAGAATCAGTCGGACATCAGCAGCAGCCAGGACATGCCCTCGTCGGCGGCCACCACCACCACGACGACCGCCTCGGCCACGTCGACGGTCTACGACGAGGAGCCCAAGCCCGCCCTGCCGCCGCCGCCCGCATCCGTTCCGGCCGAGAGTACGTAGTCACAGCACAGCAAAGCACAACACAGCACTCCACCCACCACTAACCACACAATTCCGGGGTAGTAGCCTGCTCCCATAACTCTTACCCTTTAAAGAGGAGAAGCTAACCATGCAGCAGGAAGCGTTTCCGGCTGTTTAAGGTACCTATCCTCACGTCTGTTACGGAAAACACCAAGACTTTGAGCGAAAATAGGGTTTTAAAATGTTTTTTTTTTTATAATTTGGTGCATAACATCTCTAGAATAGAGTGTTCAACACTTTAAATTTTAAAGTGAAAGCGTTATTCTCACATTTTATCACTTTTAAACTACTGCAACGATAATTTTTAAATTTTTAGCATGATTTCTGTACATAAGTTACCTCCTTTCGCCGTAGTGTTTGCACCAAACACCCATTTTTCATTAAAAGTGATATTTCGAACGATACCTTGAGCGTTTATCTAACGTTAAAATTTTGATTTTTATAATTCAAATCAATTTTTCCGAGATGCTTCAGTGTAATTGTTACTATTGCCATATTTTTGAATATTTCTCCAAGAATATTTAACAAATTATTATTCTTATTATTACTATAATGTATTTTTGATTTGTAAGACAAAAAAAAAATCGTTTTACTGTTTCTATCTCAAAAATTGAACATTTTTACAAAGGATAACTCTGCTTTCCCCTAAAGCTTTTAAATTTAGTTGATTGGCATATTTTACTTCGCTACAGGTTTTTATAAGAACTATATTTTTGTTGATCAAGAAAGGTGTTTTAAAATTTAATAGGACTTCAATCTCTAGAAACAAAGTTTGAAAACAGGTCGGTGTTGTGTTACATAGTTCCTTTTTGTTGAAATCAGTTTTAAAAACCCCATGGAGAATTACTCCAAATCTAAATCCCTACTAACAAGGCCCTTCCATTAAAGTAATTTCCATTTTATATGAGCTAACATTTTTACTCCAGCTCTGAGGTATGTGACCTTGCACATGGACAAGTCGAAGAACCTGGGCATTAAGCTCTTCGGGGGCAACAAGGTGGGCATCTATGTGCACGACGTGGCGCCCGGATCGCCCTCGGATCATGCAGGGATACGCAAGGGCGATCAGATACTGGAGTACAATGGAGTGGACCTGAGCGGCGTCACCGCCGAGCAGGCGGCCAATGAGATCTCCAAGCTGACGGACACGGTCACCATGCTGGTGCAGAATAAACTGCACAGTGAGTAGCTAATATATTATATAGTATATTACAATATATAATATATTTATAATGAAAACTACCTCCTTTTAATGCAGCTCTAAAACAAATCAAGGATGAGCCTGGCGACTCATTTTACATTCGCGTGGGGTTTGATCGCATCGGTGAGTTGAACGAGGACGACTTGCGATTTGTAAAGGACGAGGTTCTCTACGTGGACAACACGGTCTTCAATGGCACCTTTGGCCTGTGGCGAGCCTGGAAGCTGGATGCCATGGGCCACCGGAAGGAATGCGGCATCATACCCAGTCAAATGAAGTACGTACGATCATTGAATTGATTTATTGTTTATTTATTTATTAATCATTTATTGATAGCCATCATTCTGTAAAAAAAATCTAGATTCGATATTAAAAATGTAACGTAATTGCCTTTACTTCACGTAACTTATAAGCTAAGAGTTTAGTATTTTACAAACAAATTACTTGAAAACGTATTCAAAAAGCAATATATAATATTTTAAAAATGCCAAAAAGTCAAAATCATCAAAGTGGTGTACATCATGTGCAAAGAGCCGAATTTTATGGATTTTTTTCTAAATTTTAATTGTTTTACAAGGGTACAAACTCTCCATTTGATAAATTTATTTTATAACTGCTAATATATTGATAATTTTTCGCTTGGAAGATTTCGACTCATTTGTGCCTCTTGTTTATATATGAATATGCATATTTTGAAGTTCTAGAATACTAAGACTATTGTTTTTTTTATCCCCACAGAGTGGAAGAGGAACTGCGTTCGGGGGAAGTGGTGGACTGTGATACTGGAACGGCCAGACGCGGCAGCACTTCGGCCAGGAGATCGTTTTTTCGTCGCAAGAAGAACCAGCGCAGCTCGTCCCGCGACTCCACGGAGATTGCCAGCTTCAGCAATACGCAGCTCAGCTTCTTTCCAGACTTGGGCCTGCTGAACGATGATGGCGGTGCCCTTAGCTACCAGCGTGTGGAGCTGTTAGATTGTAAGTGACCATTGCTTGGTTACCTAAAAACAAATAAGTTAAATATCTCCTCGTTTCGTTGCAGCGCCCATTCGTCGACCCGTACTGATCATTGGTCCGCTGTCCGAGTGTCTTATGGACCGGCTGACCATCGACTTCTCCAACCTCTTCAAGCTGTGCGAGGTGACGGCCATGGACTGCTCGCAGGAGGCCATGGAGGAGGGTCTGAAGGAGAACATCTTTGTGGACTACCGACGGCGGGGCAACAAGTTCGAGTGCACCACCGTGGAGGCCATTAGCAATGCCTGCAAGAACGTAAGTGGCTTAGCCACTTTACTAGTTAGAGCGCTTCAAAATTCTAGAGTTTCTTTTGCAGGATCGACGTCACTGCATTTTGGACGTTTCCATCTCGGCCGTGGAACGTCTGCAGCGTCTACAGATCTATCCCATTGTCCTGCTGTTGCGCTTCAAGTCCGCAAAGCAGATCCGCGACATTCGCGACTTTGGCACCGACAAAATCTCGGCCAAGGCGGCCAAGGAGATGTACGAGCGGGCCATGAAGCTGGAGACCGACTACAAGCAATACATATCAGGTGGGTTTTCTTTTAGAACCGAACTCAAATTGAAGCATTTGTTCATTTAATCGTTTAATGTGGTTTTGATACAGAAATATCTTTCGTTGAGATTTCTCTGTAACCTCGGTTATTTTACCATAATTAATTTACTATTCCATCTTACAGCCGTCATCCCCGGCGTTAGCATCAAGCACATGTGCACCCAAATCAAGGACGCCGTCGACAAGGAGCAGGACAAGCTGCTTTGGGTGCCCGTTTCGAGTGGCGCCTGAGCCGATCGGATCGACAGGACACCCTCGACTTGGGATCTTCCTAGTGCAGTTATAGTTATTAGCACACAACGCGACACTCACGCTTAGTATTTTTTTTCTTCAACGCGCATCAATAGTATCGAGTTCGTATTCGTATTCGTATTCGTATTCGTTTCGTTCAACGCAGAGTATTCAATGGGCGTCGACTTGCAACGCAATAGTAGTTTTGCATTTAGGGCGCGGTATTTCTACCTGTTTCTCGTCTCGTCTCGTCTTGTCTCTGTCACCTAATTTATGTCTGTAGATTTAGATCACCAGCAAAGGGGAATGCTTCCACAAATTTATATATCTTTATTATATATACCGTCTGGAACACTGATTTCCTCCTTGGGCGACATTCTAAGCCGAAAGTCTGTTTGAATGCAATCTATTATTATGTATTTGTAAGTAAAAACACACATATATTTTATTTTATTTACCTTAACGATTCGATAAACTCGGTGGCAATAGGGAGTTTGACTTTAAATCCTACAACTGTTCAACTGTGTATATTAAATAGTTTCAATTAATCCAATTTTCTTTGAGAACTGCTTCTAAATCGAGCCTTACCAACATCATTACTTATTTTGGCAAGTGCCTTTGGCCGATAGTAAAAATAAAAAAAAACACGGCTATTTAAGCAACACTAGAAGTTTTATTTAATTGAAGTGATTGACAAAAAGAGCTATCACTAGCCTTAAGTGGTAAACGGTTAAACTGAAATGAAGTGCCTGAAATGCCTTTAAATTGCTGCTTATCCTACACGTAATAAATACAATTTATAAATCTAATTTATCAGCGTACCCTTTTGTGTGCACTAAAGAGTAAAAAGGTTATATATCAACGTATTAAATACAATAAAATCTATTTTATACATACGTAAGCATTCTAAATATACAGACTATGGTCGCATACATTTTTGCAATAAATATTTTTCGAAAAACGCCTTCGCATTAATCTGGTTTCTGATATATCCATATATGAAAAGATTTGGGTTTAATGTTATGGCCACTTTTATGGTTACACTTAAAGCTAAGATTTGAATAAATAAATAAATATTGTTAATAACTAGTGAATACCATCGTACGCAGCTCAATGGCCGCGAACCGTTCGCAAGTATTTCAAGGTACATTCGCTCTGCAAGTTGTCGCCTAAATCGGGCATTATGTTGGCCTATATTTACATTAACATAATGCCGCATCTTAAAGTAAATTAGGGTATTAAATTGGGGTATAAACTAGAGTTAGAAGATAGAATGCTTAACTTATTACTCTTGAAATCTAAGGCTACTGTACAATTGATCATAGGAGGAATAGAGTTGGAGATAAAGATTACCCCTCCAGGAAGTCGAACTCATCGCGTGGGCGGTACCACTCGTCCGTGGCATGTTCGTAGATGGCCCGCTGGACCTCCGCCTCCGCCGCCTCGATGGGATCAGAGTTGGGGCCATCGAAGCGGCTGTCGGAGCGCGGACTGCGCGAGGTGGCCCGAAACTCCATGGGGATGTTGTAGCACTTGCAGATGCAGCTGGACGGGAAGCGGAACCAGTCGGAGAAGATGCCGCGGCACTCGTTGTGCGGATCGTAGGCCAGCAGCCGATGCAGGCGGTACTGCTGCTCACAGCGGCATCCATCGCGGCAGAACATCTGCTTGAACTCGTGCGTGCACTTCTCCCAGTGGACGTACTGCTCGAAGGGATACAGATTGAGCAGGGCCAGGACCTCGCCACGGGTGTTGTTCGCCCAAAAGGGGGCCACCACTTCATCCTTGACGGGACAGGCATTTCTGGAGGAGGAAACATTGGTGAGTTTTCGTTAAATAAGTTTACAAGTATATACATATTTAACACCCGTAACTTAAGTAATCATTTTCACAATAAACTTGCCCGCAGATCAACAATCTTAGCTTAGGTGGCGCCATCTGCCGAACTGCAGAGTCAACACTCTCAGTGAGGTCAAAGGTTAAACTAATTTCTTCAAACATTTCTTAAATAAGGGTTCGATTTGAAAAATAGTTCGTGTGTCAATAGAGATTGATCGAAAAAACATATACCCCCCAAAAACTGGGCTGTACAATGTCTTAGATAGACTTGGTAGAGTTTCTCGTGGTTAAATTTTAAAAATAATTAGAATCTGCTTGTTAAATCTTTAACCTTTCACTTTAAAATTAACTAGTCTAATTATGTGCTAATTTAATTGACTGCAAACTTACACTCCCCGCAGGTTGTTGGCCACCGCCACGGGCTCCTGCTTCATGGCATCCTGGAACAGTTGTCCCTCCCTCAGAAGTCCCGACTTGGTGGCACTTCCGGTGGCTCCCACTGCGGCTCCTCCCGCCACCAAAGCAGGAACAGGAACTGGAACTGGAGCTGAAACTGGAGCACTGGTACTGCTGGTGGTCAAGGGCCTGCGCAGCTTCTCCGGACTGAAGAGCCCACTGGAGGTGCCGGAGAAGAGCGAGGCGAAGCTCACGGGCGTGGTCACGGATGCGGGTGAGTACTTGGTTACATTCCGGCGGATCAGCACGGTGGGTGTAGTTGTGGTTGTGGTTGTGATTGGAGTGGTCACGCTGCTGGAGGTCTTCGGAGTTGGCGTTGGCGTTGTGGTGGTTGTCTCCAAGGGTTTCCTTCTCCTGCTGGCCGAGGCAGACGAGCTCTTGGGCAGAGAAGAGGGCCTTAAAGTGGTGGGTGCAATGGGTGCTTCCTGGGATGGCTTGGTCTCCATGCTGAGGTTACGCAAACCCAGCTGTGGTGAGTCAATAATCTGGATATTTTCACCAGCTGCAGGTGGCGAAGGTGGCTTTGCAGTGGAGTTCATTGATGGAGGCGAAGAGGGCACCACTTCGTAGACGCTATTCGACTCCGGACTGGGTTGGATCTCCACAATGTCCGCCTCAACTTCAGGTTGTTCGGGCGAAGGTGGATCAGCGGCAGTGGGTGTACTTGTACTACCACTTGAATTGGTGGTTGTGGTGGTAACTTTATCGGGAGTTTGCTCCGTAGTGCTACTACTTGCCGTGGGAGTAGCTGTCGTTATCGTCGCCTTTGTCGTACTCGTTGTGCTCGTGGAAACCGGTCGAAAGTGTGGCTCCATGAGGACATCATTGCTCTTAAAGCTACCAAAATCATCGCGATCCCGTTCGCGATCGCGATCCCTGCCGTTCATCAGGTACTTGGCACTCCGACGGCCAGCATCCTTGGTGTACCGCTCCGCCGCCAGCTCAATGTCGTCCGCATCGACCTCGTTGTTCTGGATCTCGTCCCGCAGAATGGAGATGTGCCGCACATCGCCGTACATGCGCTTCATCAGGCCCTGGTTCTCGTGCACGAACCGCCGGACGGCGTGCCACGGATACGCCGATCCGGGCAAATGGCAGAAGGCCTGCTGGCCCAGATCGCAGGGGATCGCAGCCAACATCTGGGCACGACCACGTCGCGACAGCTTGCCATTGGGACTGCACGAGTTGGCCGAATCGAAGCCGAATCCGGCGGAGGCCAGTGGCAGAGCCACCGCCAAAATCAGCAGCGCACCACTGGTGACCTCGGTCTGCAAGAATCAAATTTAATGTAAGCATTATTATCTTTCCAAAAATATTTTTATTTTTTTTTAAGTAAACAATACAAATAATAACAATTAAAACCCTTCTTTGAGGAATTTTAGTACACTAAATCAAGGAAAAATTCTACAACATAGCCTAATAGTATGTTCTTAACTATTTGCTGATATATTTTTTTTCATTATATATTATTATTCTCCTTAACTCATAAATAAGTTCTAATATATTGTACAACTTGTTGCGTATTTTTTATGCCGCAACTGCAACTCACAAAAAAAAAACAACTAACACAGAGTTTTAAATGCAAAAGTCGGCGTATGCCTAACAATTTATTTAAATTTTAAATTACCTTTGTTAGTAGCTATTACTACACCCATAAAAACCGAAAGTTTAGTTTTAATAAGTATGCCTTGAAAATTAATTATTACAGTTAAAGTATTAATTCAAAACTAAATAATATAGCCCCAACACGTATAAAATATGTATCCCCTATTTAAAAATAGTTGAACAATAGAAAATGAATAAGAAGTTTAAATTTGATTTTTTAATTGCATATTAATTTATTGGATTTATGTATTTTAATAAGCGTAACTTTGATTTCACTTCCTTCATGTATGAAAATATATTCTGCGTTTTAGTTTTCGGTGAATTCATAATTTATTTCTTGTGTGTGAATTTGATTTTCCGCCCTTTCCTGCTGTTGGAAAGGCTTTTCTTTCCAGCTGGATTGACGATTGGGCAAATGACCCCCCCACCAACTAATGGAAATACTGAGCAGCTCCAGCTGAGCAGAGGAAATCTTAATTGAAACGACAGTCGCTGGCTGATAAGCAAATGGCGTGACCACAAAAACTTCATTTTTTGTGGCAGGCAAGTGGAGTCAAGTGGGCTCAATGCACCTGGGAGTACTGAAAAGGCCGGGCTGCTCTCACTCGGCCAAAACGAATGGCCAGAGACTTCGATGCAGCCGGTAGAAAACCAAATTTTACTTTCACGCAAAGCCAACTGGACAATCACAAGTCATAAAGATGATCGATGTGCATTTGCATGCCACCTCCAGACTGCAACGCCAGAGAGAATGGCCGCGATTGCAACCATCATTACACTGAGACAATGGTATTTGTGATTTCTACTTGAAAAAATTGAATTTAAATAATGACAGTAAAACTTTTCTAATTTGAATTCTATAGATGTTGTAATCACGAAAGGTTTGTTTTGTGTATAATTTAATAGTTTATTTTGGATTTTATAAACTTATTTTAATTCAATATTTTCATGCAATCTTTGTTTAGCTTTCAAACTAAAAAGTCAATTATTTGAATAGTTAAGAATCATATTTTAAATTTTTTCCCAGTTATACTACATAACTATTTGAAATGAATGCACCTCAGTGAATATAAACAAATTATTTGGGTCAAGTAGATTTTAGCCCAGTTTTTGGTAAATCACAAAAAGGACTACAAATATTATTTGTTGATTATTTAATTAAGAAACTAGTTCAAATGTCTTATTTATAGCACTGCTATTTGGAACTTTAAATGTTACTTTTAATTTTAACTATTACTACTTCAAAAACTCACTCACTTTCATGTTTAATTCCGTTCAAATTGTATGCAAAAATGTTTATTCCTTTATTACACAATGTAAGCTTTTTTAAGCAAAATATCTATAAATAAAAATTCTAATTGGTTCTTAGTAATTAATAGTAATTTATTAATTCTTAAAAGTAAGATACAGAAATAAAAAGTCACCAACAATTTGTAGCATTCAAAAAAATATATTCGTATAAATAAAATGTTGTTCTATTTAAATCTTTGAATAAAGCTTGCTTTTTCTCCCAGTGCATGGATACCAGCACACCAGACTAGCCGCCGACAGAGCCACACCACCCTGGTCGCCCCGCACCACCACCCGAGTGGCTCACCGGCAACCGGCAACTCACTGGCGGCGGACACAACTTGCAACTGGCCACCGACCACCGACCAACGACCAACAACCACCGATCACCGATCACTGGCAGCCGGCAAAGTGAAATGCAAAGAGCAATCAAAAGCGAAATGGGTTACCCAAGTAAAAGTAAATTGCGGCGAGCTGGAAAAGCGTTGGCATTTCCCGCTACCCTCGCCCCCCTCGCCACCCGAGGGGCCCTTTCAACTTTCCTTTTCGGTTGCACAATTGTTGATGGGTAGGCCGAGTCCTAATAGGGTCTCTTTTGACTCTTGCCTCTTGGCTCTTTCTTCGCAGAACCGGTTGGCCAAAAACTGATATGCACTCGGTGTATGGTATTCGGTGTTCAGTTATCTACCAATCACAATCACAATCACATGTGGCGCACACATATCGATCGCTGGTGATTCACGATGAGAAAAGAAAGTGATCGGCTCCCTTGGCGGATGTGTGTCCAAAATGTGAGCTCAACACGACTGGCCATGCGGTTAGGTAATATTGATCATTGATCTGTTTGGCCATCTCTCATTTGTGTGGCTTTTAGGAAAATTCCAGACCGATTAGCATAAGCAGGCAAGGTCAACGCCTAAGCTATTTCGTAATATTTTCAAGGAAATTTTTTGGGTTAATACTGCCTAGATAACAGTTAAATCTCAATAAAAAATATAATTATAGTTTAAAAAAACCTTTAAATTTTTGTAATACAAGCAAACACACAAAAGGGAACTTAAAGTTTAGTTTTAATAAGAGTACCTTGAAAACAAACTGCAGACAGTATTAAAATATGTATTAATTCAATATTGAGTTATAGTTTAGTTTCATTTCATTTAAACTACAAAAGTTTTTTTTTGAGACTTTCGTGGTGTTAATTTAATGCTAATCTTTTTAAGCAACTTAGAGAGTTTCTGGCACATAATCTCGTACATCATGTTCTGTAATCATATTTAAATATCAATGACAAGGTGGAATTCCTTCTAGCATTAATTCCCATTTCTCCGATTTGAAAAGGTACCTCAATCAAGTGCTTCACGGCACCAAGACCATGGCAATTGCGAGAAGAAAGTGATCTGAGGTCTGAAATGCGAGGATGAGACCGCAACTTGGGTTCGAAACAAATGGCTCTCTGCGAACTAATTTGTGTTGAAAATCAAATCAGGTCAGACCGCAAGAGAAGACGACGCCTGAAATGGAAAGCAGAATTACTTTCGCTTTGTTCGGCAAAAAAATATATAAGGCGGCCTGGCATTAGTGTCGATTGTCATGTGCAGCGAGACAATTAAGCCGAATCTCATTCATTAACATTGTCATATTTCTTGGAAGCGAAGGAGCCACGGGGAAATTGGAGCAAATGCTGCTGTCAGCGTCCCAAGTCGGCGAAACAAATCAATATGTCCAATCAGCCGTGAGAGCTTGCAACTGCTACAGACAGTGGTGGCAGAATGGCTATTTTCAAGCCAGCCTTTTTTATTTAATTATTCTAATAACTATTATTTTTTGCACAAGTGAACAAAATGCAGTTACATACAAAATTATAGTAAAGTTGATTCGGAAGTGAAATAGTTTTTAATTCTAAGATGATTTTATAAAACCTTATTAAAAAAATTTAAGATTTAATCCTAGTGCCAAGTACTTTTAGATTATGCAAAAACATTCACATAGTCATTTTATAAATTAATAATTATAGGTTATTTAGATTAACTAGAAAAATAAGTTATGGTAGTTTTGAGAGTTTCTTATCGTTGGATATTGATAAAGGTGAACAAATTTCATTGAACTGGAATTGAACCTGTATTTTCCTAGCCTTTAGGGCCACTTAACCTAAAGTAAAACCCAATTTTAAATATTGAACTGATTTTTTCAGAGTATTTTCAGTTAGTATTGGTTTGGCTACCTTTAGCCGCCTCTTGTAGCCCCAACTCGGCAGCAATAGATGCGGCGGTGCAGTGCCGATGCTGCGGTGCAGTGCAAATGGGCATTAAGTCAACTCGCATCGAGGAAGACATTTGTCAATCGCAGACGATGCCGAGCTGTCGCCAGAGAAACGTATTGCAACACTTTAATGTGTCAGCGACTTTCTACGAAAACCCAGTCGAACGGGGGGAGGCGGGGGAGGGTGAGGGGGAGGTGGTAGCATGAGGAGACGTTCCAGTCTATGTCTTCATTTCCCAAATACAATGTTGCCGCCGTCCATCTGCAACTCTCTTGGCAAGTGGCGGCTAGAATGAATTATTTATAAATTCAATTGGCTCTGGAAATGAAGTTGATGTTACACTTAACCAAATTTGGCTATGCCGCTGTTGTTTCTGCTAATTGCGACCAGGCGACCAGCTGGCGAGTGGTGAAATTTTCCCCACCAAAACAAAAGACTGAGGCGACAAACCTGACCGGGGTTTGCAGGCCCGGTCCCAACAAAAGACTGAGGCAACAAACTTGACTTGCAAGCTCTTCATTTCCCTTCCCACACTGGCTGAGCAATGCATATTCATGGCGAAATGGTTAATTAATCGCAAAATTTCACTGATCGGATGCCGCCGGAAAAGGCCGCCAACTTCGCCGCCCAAATTTGGCAAAACGATATTTTTTGGGCCGCCGTTTCGCTTTCGGTTTGGTTCGATTTGGCTTTAGTTTTTTTAGCTTTTAGTTTTAGTTTTGGGCCTGGGCTTGGGCCAAATCCAACGAGTCGATTCCAGCCAGCCGCATTGCTCTCGAAGAAAGTGAAACTTTTTATTTTATTCCGCTTCTCTCTCACTTTTTTTTTTTTTTTGTTTTCTTCCTCTGTTTGGGACCGGCAATGCCAACCACAACAGCAAACACAGCGGAAACTTTGAGCATTTTTCGTTGTTGGTTATGCTTTTATGATTGCGTAGTCATGCGTTAAAAGAAAACAAAGTTGAAGTTGTTAATATGCATAAAACGCTTAGCCCTATCGTTTATCGATTTCAACACATTTTTGAAAAATGACGGGAACGTGTGACCATCTTTTAATTGCGATTTCATTTTCATCAATGGCTTGTGACCCGAGGGGACAACAATATTGGTTGATGAGTTTATTGTGGCTAGAATTGTGCCATGCAATTGAATGCCAATTCAGTCTGAAATGCTTGTATAAAGTAATTTATTTATTTTTACAACTAAAACCAAGAAAGTCTTAAAGTGATTGTAATATTTATATTTTTACATTTATTGCAAAAAGTAACATTTTTCAATCAAATTAAAATAAAATTCAACACTACTATATCTTCATTCCCAAGGAAGTTGTTAATGTAATTCTGCATAATATAATATAAAAAAAAAATAAGAACTCAATTTATTTAAAATTTACGAAGAGTAACAAAGAATAAGCTCAAAAGTACTACTGCAATTTTAAAATACATTCAAATAATTTATTTTCATTACAATTTTAAAAATGTGTTTTTTTAATGAAGTATTTATAAAAAAATTATGCCAAAGGGTACTTCTTTTATTTATTATTCAGGCTTTACTCTTATCAGCTTCTTTAGTTTTTATATAACACCGATTTCGTTATTGATAAAGTCGCTATTTCGGTTGTCTTCATCGGCCTGAAGCACCGTAAGCCAAATTTAAATTTGCTTTGCTGTTGCAATTGTTTAATTTTTGTCACTTTGTTATGCAAGGCAGTGTCATTTGGCAAAAGCCCACTTACCGTTATTAGCTTAGCGATCCGCGATCGCCTATCCATTTGGGTGCGCACCATTGTTTACTTTCACTCGATTGACACTCGCGTCGATGGCAAAAGCCAAATGTCGAATGCAAAATAGGTGCAAATAGAAATCTGTCAAAGGATTTGGCAATGTTTTACGCAGATTTCACACTCGCACGCTCACACTCACACGCAGGGCTATGAAAATTAGTGTTAAAGTCCATATTTCCACACACACTGCAAATCGTATGCAGTTTCCGCGACCTCTGGGGTCCCGCTTCTGTTTTTTTTTTCCTTGGGGCAGGGGGGCTTTTCCCACTGCGCCCAAATCGAGGAAATCGAGGAAATCGGGAAGATCGAGGAGAACCAGCGAAAAGCTGAAGCTGAAATCACGTTCACACGCTTCGGACTCACGTTTGCAACTGCGCCGCCACCAGCGGCTGATTGAGCTCCAAGTCCCACGGCAAAACGTCCACCTCTCTCTCTCTTTCTCTCTCTTCCCCTACCGCGCCCCCAGTCCCAATACACTGGGAGAAATGAAAGCATTCGTATTAATATTATTTCGTTTGTGTTTGGTATAAGTTGGAATAAGGAAAATCGTAAACTTTACAAATATTTCTTGCTATCTTAATTTAAAATTGTCTTCTATTGTAACTAATGCTCGAATTCAATGGTTTATGTAGGAATAAATAAATAAAAATACGAAACACAAATACTTTGGAAGACCTCAATTAAGCATAATATAGCTAAAATATATATTTAAATAAATAACCCTTAAATTATACATGTCGTTAAATAAAGAGGAATAAATAATAAAAAAAAATAATTATTCAAAATTTTTAAAGAACTTTCATAAATGTGAACCAATTTTTTTTTAGTTTCTAAAGCTTGTTGAATTAAAACATTAATCTTTAAAACTTTATTTGCTTGTTTTATTAGCTTACACCACATTAAGCATTAAATGTACTTATGGTGATGTTCAAGATTTATATATTTGTATATATTTTTCACATTTTAGTGAAACATTTAATGAAAGGTTTTAACTTAAGTCCCATTATTTTTTTCGAGTGCAGAGAGGCAGAGTGGCGAAGTGAGAGAGGTGGTCGATGGATCTCAGCTTTGCGCCAGCGAAAACGCTTTTTATTTTTACGGTTCGGCTTGCTTTTGTTTTTGCTTTTTGGTTTGCTTTTGCAGGAAAACTTTTTCTTATTTATTATTCGACGACGAACGCTGAAAAACGACACAGCGCAAAAAAAGCAAAAAAAAAGCAAAAAAAAAGCAAAAAAAAGCAAAAAAAAAGCACCAACAACATAAAATACAAAACAAAAAGCCAGAAAGCAGAGGAGTACACGTACACTGTGACAAGAAAAAGCGCCACACGCAACGCCGAACCCGAAGATCGAGCCGAAGAGACCCCAGATCTCGTAGTGCTCCAATGCTCCAATGCTCCAATGCTTCAATGCTCCAAAGCGCCAAAGCGAAGAGTGCGTCGCGAAGTCTGCTTAGTAGGTCAGTAGTGGACCCCAGCATGTGTTGTTGTTCTTGTTGTTGTTGCTTGGGCTTTGTTTTGATTCATTTGCTGCCGCTGGTGTTGCAAATGTTGTTGTTGTTGTTGTTATTTCGTTGTTGTTGCTGCCGCAGAGGATTAGACGCAGCGCCGAGAACGGAGCTTGTTTTGGCGCCCATCCTCGGGACTTGATTGCGGGAGCGCTGCACTTAGCGAGGGTTGACTGTGCGCTTTTTGTTTTGTTGCCCTTTCAGAGTTACATGGTTACATTCACCTTTATCTCAAAGTTAATTGATAAAACTTTATAAAGTTAGAAAAAATCAATTTTTGGAGAAATTAAAGATTATTTAAGAGTACCTTTCTTGTGTTTTTTAATTTTTAAAACTAGTTATAAATCAAAAAATCTTATATTCAATATTTTCACCGGTTTTAAGAAGTTTTTCGAGAAAAACGCATCTGAACTGGCATGCCTAAATATTTAAATACAAATAAGTTCTAATTTGATATTTTTTTTACAATATTATTATTAAAATAAAATTATAGCACAAGCGGAAAATGCATTTTTGATTTGTTATCTTGTGAATAATATTTTTTTTCCTATCAAAATTTGAATAAAAACTAAAACAATGAGAAATGAGCTAACGTTATGAAAAGTCTTTATTATACATGTTTTATTTTACATAGTATCGAGATTTCCATTTAAATATGCACTAAAATGACCTTTTCAATCGAAAATTGAACAAACCATGAAATAATACAATTTTTTCACTTAAGATCTAGATACAAAAAAAAAACGTTAGAAATTTTCGATTTTAGAGATACTTTTGTTTTAATTACCATAATATTTTGTAGTTGTTTTCGACCGACCCTCGCTGCCATCAGCGAACTGTTGAAAGCGGTCTGTGTGCCAGGCTAGCCGCAGTTTAATTATCGTTGTGTGTTTATTATGTCCTCGCCCGCCCCCGTGACCGCCTATCGCCCACCGCCCACCGCTGCCCCATTCCCGCCCCCAAGACACAGCACGAATAATATTGTGTTGCTGCAGTTCCTCATCCTCCGTTTTTTATTGGCCACGAAGATTCCCATTGAGTAAGAATTGCGCCACCAGGTAACCGGGTGGGTGGAGGGGTGGTGGGGTGGTGGAGCGAGAGTTTGGGAGTTCCACCAGTGGAGCGGGTGGTCGCTGATGGACTTTCCGCTGCCGTTTCCCGCTCCCTTTCTTGGACACAAAAAAACAGGTTTCTTTTGGCGATTGCCGAATAATGGCGATTGCAAAATTTGTTCACAATTGTATGTGTAACGAGCGTTAAAAATATCAATTTAAGAAGTTTTTCTTCTTTTTTGCTTATAACTTGTAAGCAAAAAAATATATATATTTATTGAAGTGCCACTATTTAAATAAATACGAACCTTTGTGCTCATTTCGTAATTTAATTCTTACGAAAACGCAATCCAATCATTTCACTGCCAACGATATTTGGGTCAGAGCAAGTGAAAGTGCCAAAAAAAAAAATAAATAAATAATTGCGTCTGAAAAGCAGGTTCACATCAGTTGAAAGCTTTAATCGGGAGTCTTGGGATCCCGCGAAAATGGTATGTGTGCCGAAATGATAAGCTTCTTGGGATTGAAGTTGCATGGAAAAACTTCCATTATCTAAAAATATTAAGAGCCAAATATCTAAAATTTATTCTTCTTTTCTTACGATTTCTTATATCTGAAGTTTAAGTTAACAAATTTGCTTGGATCTAAACCTCCGTTCAAAAGTTAATAAAAAAATACTTTTTTATTTTGGTGTATTTCTGTTTAACATTAAAATTATTTAATATGTTTTTTTTTTTACTTTTTTGCTTATTTTTAATAATTGTTAGAACTGATTTTTACTTAACTTGAGATTCCTTAACTTTTGGTATAAAATTTGCTATTTTTCTGGACGAATGTTCTCAAAAGTTATTAAACAAGAAAATCGGCACCTTTTCCTTTTGCCTTGGCAAGAATTTTTTATGCACCACCAAATTGGGGAGAATAGAAATGTATACAAATATAACTCTTAATTTATTAAAAAAAAAATGAGACTGGAAAGTTTGTAGAAGAGATGTTTGAGCAATCATTTTGAAAAGTCGTTAGCTGAGTTACATATCAGCCAGCCTCTTACATTCCTCTAACCAGCGTTTTTCAACACTTAAGATTCTCACACTTGCGTTGCTGCAGCCTAAGCTAAGTCGCTTTTAAACACTGGCTAAATCAGATGTTTTTCGTAGGCGACAACAAATTGGAACCTTTCCGAATCTAGATTTTAGAAGTTTTAAACCAAATTCGTATGGATTTTCCGGACAAAATGGACATGGAGAATGAGAGGGTGCTGAAGCTGATATTTCCCGACGGAGTGCCGGGTAAGTTTGACCTGTGAACCGGCTGGCATCGTCAAAGAACTTAGGGTTTCTGTGTTCGCCATGACTAGACAACTTGCGTGGCAATCCGGAACTGGACAATTATTTGGCCAAACTGGGCACTTGCAAGGTGGAGCAGCTGAAGAAGGAGCAGACACGACTGGCGGACGAGGCGCGCAGCATCCTGGAGCAGACACAGGACCTGGCCATCTCGAACTACAGGACCTTCATCACGACGGCGGAGAACTCGCGCTCGATCTTCAGTGAGTTCCTACGCTCGGAACAGCAACTGGACACGCTGGTGGGCAAACTGCCCGACTTGAGTGCACAGTGCGAGCGCTTCCTGCTGGACTCCGCCGAGCTGAACGAGCAGCGGCGCCTCAACTCCATCACACTGCAGAAGAATGCCCAGCTGCTGGAGGTCCTGGAGCTGCCGCAACTCATGGAGCGCTGCATCCGCGAGGGTCGCTACGAGGAGGCCCTCGAGCTGGCCGCCTACGCCACTCGACTGGGCCAGCACCAGGGACACATTCCCGTGGTCACAGTGCGTTGTCCTTCGTGATCTTTTATGCTCTTAATCCATATTAAATCCTTTCCAGAGCATTGTGCGCTCGGTGGAGGCCCTGTGGCACACCATGCTGGTGCAGCTGGTGTCCCAACTGCGTACGGACCTACAGCTGCCCAAGTGCCTGCAGATCGTGGGCTATCTGCGCCGCATGCAGGCCTTCGGTGACAACGAGCTGCGGCTGAAGTTCCTGCAGGCCAGGGATGCCTGGCTCACCTCCTGTCTGGAAGCCATTCCCACCTCAGATGGTTAGTCTCAGTTTATATTTAAACAATGCCTTCAATAAGTTTTCAGTCATTAGATCAAAAAATAAGTCAATAATTTGTAACTACTCCTCTCTTTATCTGAACTTTGTTCATTTTTCTAATGAATGAGTCTGAATAAGTTAGAATTTAAGTCTAAGCTATATTTATATAAACCTTTTGAATCATAGGATATACAAATGAGGACACCTTTTGTAAGTGGTCCTTGATTTATGTGAACTTTGTTCATATTTCAATCTAGATTTGGATAAGCACTATTTATTTTAATGCCTTTATAAGGCATTTTCAATCATTAACTCTTCTTCGTTTTGAGTGTAAGTTTGTAAGAACAAGTCTAAATAAGTTCGAATTCAAGTCTAAGCTAGATATGTATAAGAATTAGTTATTATAATGCCTTTATAAGGTCTCGAGTCTCCTTCCTTTTATGTGAAATGTGTTCATGCTTCAAATGAACACGTCTTAATAAGTTAAAATTTAAGTGTCCTTGAATGAAGTCGTTATGCCGCGAATTTTTGGCAGAGCTTACTTGAATTAATTAACAACAAACGAATTTTTAAAGTAATTAAAAAAGAATGTCTTAGAATTAGTTTTACAAAGTGTAAATGTATATTTGTTAACTTTACTACCGCACTCTTGTAACTATTTCCTTTTTTCTCACCTTAGCCCAGCAACACCTGTCCAAAACCATCGAGATCACGCGC